GACAACAAGGTGTCAGTAAACAATAGGAGGGACGAGTTGTCTACGCCGGACAATCAAAGGGGAAAAGTCACCACACCTGAGTGCTACGAGTATTAAGATAATGGCGTTGACCAATCGAGGGACGGTCCAATCACAGGGTGAGAGTTTAATGGCACGCATAAACATGGGGTTTGGACAAACGACCAGTGACGGGGGAGGAGGTGCGACACATGCTCCGGGCTGAACGTGTCCTGTTCGGCGAAGAGTAGGGTTGGAGATCCAAGGTCGTCGGTAGACGGACACACACGGAACCAGTGCCGGTAATTAGCATGCACACACCTACAACGCTAACAATGGGAATGTAAGGAGGCGCACGTGAAACGCTGGTCGATATCCATCAACGACCGGCCAAGCTCTGTAGACTAGACCACGAAGCGAAGAGTAGAAGAATTTCATGGGTAAATAAGTGCGTTACATTCATCTTCCCACTATTTCTTCCCTTTCTATTCGCTTCTTTTTTCTTTGCGTTCCCTCCACCACTTATTACGACTCTTATTATCGCGGCAGTGCAAGTCCTTGTAACTATAGAACCGCTGCAATTTGACAATCGGATCTTATTTATCTGACCGATCGTGACTGCCACTACACTACGCTGCTCTAGCACCCGGCGAGGTATGGCTACTTTCTAGAGGTTCGTTCTTTTTTCGAAAACCCGTTTAATTTAGTCATCTGTCGAGTGTTGGTTACTTACGCGGTGATTTGTGAATCGCGAAATATATGTCATTGTAGCCGTCGCTCTATTTTTCATTCAAAGCTATTTATGCAGAGCCTGCGCAGTTTTCTTCCCAATGGGCCACCAGTTTAGCAGTCACTGATATGGGAGAGTCGTCAGCGGCTCCTTATGTGGACAGCACGCCTAACCAACTAATTGTGAGAATCCATCTTCTATTCACGTTTCTAATTAGCGCTGACTTGATTCCACTGGAGCTCGATACACTAAAGTCCTCTGATCACTCTTCAATCCTTCAATTTAAAAACCGATATCGGTTAGCTTTCCACCTAAGTGTGATCTTAGTACCTCCCGGCCCGAGTTTTGAACTATAATCTGACTTATGTGGCATGATCAAGCTCAATGTATATTTAATGGGTGTCAGTGCAATGTACACCATCTGCGTTTGAAGGTGATTCAACAAGCATAAGTCCTACAGATTTTGCTTTACTGGACGCTAGCAGCGTTACGCATTCGGCTGGGGTAGAGAACTGCGTCGAGGATTCGGGGATTGTTGTTACCAGACTCTTCGTCAGGGATCCCTTCGGTTGTGCTCGCTTCATTAGCAAGAACCATAGTGATTGCATTCTTGATCATTCCCATAATAAACATGGTCACATTGGCAGGCCCTTCTTGGACTGCAGCCTAGTTTACGCTTACTTGGCAGCTGAATTTCCCTCGAACTTTTACACACAGAAACAATTCAGGCCCAGTTACCCTGATCACTTGTGCAAGACACAGTTCAATATCGATTTGGTATAGCGGGACGTGTGAACGGTCTACGTGTGATTTCCCAGCTACGTTGCAGAGGAACGCTCGCGTGCATTTACGAGGGACGCGGCGAACTTCGGCTCTCTGAGGTTTCAGCTGGTGAATGGTATTATCACTCGCTGACCGTTTTGAGATTGATGACTAATAGGCAACTAGAATACTGAATGCGTGAGGGGTTATCGAGCTGCGATATTCTGCATACTCATTTCGAAACTCTCATAGCTCCTCGGAACTTACGCAGAGTTCCTCTGATCTTATCTCAGTAATACTGTCGCCATGCGTCAACTCAAACGGCACAGGCTACAGCTGATTGCTTCTCATTGAAACCCCCTATTACGTCAACGCAAACTACACATACTTCCGCTCTCCCCATTTACGCTACTTTGTCTACCGTCTCAAGTGGCACTGAGCCAATTGAGACCTCCTTAGGTAACTACTGTACTTAACATCTCAAGCCATCCTGAGGTTTCCCCCAGAACACTACCACTACATGGCAGCTCATATACCTTGGTAGCACTCACCTTCTTCTGTTGTTTATCTGTTACGCTGCTATTCTCTGGGGCTATAGATACGAAGCTTTATTAGGCATCTTGTACTTTCGGCTGAGTCAGTAAACGAACTCAGTCTACCGGCCAGTCTTCTTACTGGGTCTCGCTGAAGTCATGCAAGGTTGTGCGTCTCGTCTCCAGTCCAATGTCTCGTCTACATACGTCTAGCAGCTAGGTTTCTTTAGGCGTACCGATCCGAATTCATTTGGCTACTCTGTGCATGTAGTACTATCGGTTGTGTTTCATCCATTTCGTCGTCTTGACCAGCAGTACAACAGTGATTTGAACTGATGCCTTGCTACCGTACAACTATGGTGACCTACGCAACAAAGAAAAATACTGGGGATAAAAAGGGGATCTGGCGTTAAATCCTTAATGCCAAGGTACCTACATCTTGTCAACAGCAAACTATCACAAATAGCTGGCAATTAGGACGTGTTATAACTTAAGCAGTTTGTCGAACAGAACCGACGATGGCTCATGTACGTGTTTATCACTGAGAGTTGGATTTCGATCAGGGTTTTCTGCATCTTCAAATCGAAAGCTGTGCTTACAGCATAGTATGTTACGTACATATTTGCGTAGTCCACCCATTCCACTTGAGATCCTTAAATGCGCACCTCAGGAGGCGGTGAGATGCCATTCAAACAGGGTGGAGTTCGGTCTTCTGCTGCTACCTAGTTGAGACCGTTCGCATAGCCTCTGCAGGTCTCTAGTACCAAGCGGATGTTGCCTCCTGAAGAAACCATGGATTTTCTGGGTTGTGTTCCGTTTTCTTATTACGACAATTGTACCCACTTTTTCCCGTTATTTTTTGTTGACTTGATTTTTTCCACTCCTTGGACGTTCATCTTGTAAAACTTATGGATCCAGACCTCTATATGTTGGCCAACTTGGTCCAGTTTCTTGAGTGGTCTATTAACGGTGGTTTGACTCTATATGTATGCATGCATACACACATTATTTGCTTCATGTTGAGGTTGATGTCGCATACATCGTGCTTCTTCACCGCAGTCGGACTACACCGTTATACACTTAAACTAGCTTTTCTTAACCTGGATAAAAAGTGTTCCACTTTATTTGATTTGCTCAGTTCTATTATTCTGCTGCATATTCCGTATCAGTTTTGTGTCTTTATTTTCTTCAAATTCGGTGTTTGTTGCTTGCTATCCTCGGTGTGGCTGCGCTTGATGTGAATGTTGACAAGGTGCTTATCTGTCGAAAATCCGTTAACTCGATTTTGTCATCTCCAAAAGATTGGGAGGAAGTGATGCACCGTCCTCGTGAGGGTGCTACGCTCAAGGAGTGGCTCAATGCATCCATTGTGGAACGTGCTACGGTCTAGCCATCTCCTTGTGTACGTCTGGTACGCATGCCTCTTAGCATAGATAGACAAGAATGCTGATGCTGTGCATTTTGAAGGAGTATGAGCCGGCTTCATTGATAAATCTGGGCTCCCACCCGCATGTCTCCTCTCCTTATTCCATCGGGTTTTTACTGGATATGGGGCGTGTGAGTGGTGCAGCGCAAGCCACCCATGGTCCCTCTGTAGATGCAGGCGTTCTGTGGAGGCCACAGTGACAGGCAAATCCGGTGCCGCTAAACATGATCTTCGCGGTCTCACAGCATTTCGTTGGTTTATGCCAAAAGCGACTAGTGGGACTCCTTTCTTCGAATTTGGTTTTCAGAAGTCACACTGGGTCCTGTTCTGTTCGTCCCTTGAGCATTGTTTTTGCCCCTTAACCGTTGCCGATTTCCTTTGTTCACTGAACACACAACACTCTTTTCGCAAAATAGTTGGTCTGTGGGCATCATGACTCAACGGGCCCCGATCCCGTGGTTGTGGATTACTCGCTTGCGTGCACGGCCTCTAGGTTAGCTAGCCCAAGTTTCTGTGCGCCATTCTCCACGGGGATCCAAATGGGTGAAATTTCCATGTGTATCTTTTTCGCTTTCTTATTGTAGTACGATGTCGTTTGCTCAGTTGTACGGATTTCAGCGGCTCGTTAGGGCTCTTACCGACCTCTTCTTTTTCAGAATTCGCCAAGCATCACTAAAATTAACAGATACTATAAAGCTGGCAATTACGCATATGGCATGTGGACATGTTCTGGTTTCTGGTTTGCCAGCTTTGGTGAGCTCCCCAACTTTCACTAGTTCATCGATAATAGCCAATCCCACTATTTAAATCGGTATTTCTTTAGCTCGTCAATTCAGGCTTCAAGTGCAACTTAGCTCCAGACCCACAGGCACTCGCAGTTGGGTCCACTTTCAAGTCAAGTCAGTATAAGCTTTATGTACCCAAAAGGGTATATTTTCAGCATTTATATTATCAGCTGCAAATTTTCTAATTGGTTACCATTAAAAATGTAAAGTTTATAATGGGTAGCAAATTGAGGAATCACCGTCATTGATCGATCGAGCAACGATTCCAAAAACTGGACTAAATCTTCGGGATTTGTATCCATTGAAAGCGGAAAAAGTTTCATAAAAATTTTGCTTCAAAATTCGTTTCAATTGACGTCGACGTTTGTGTCCAAATACAACAGATTGCGGATCGTGCGCGATATCTGACGTGTATGTTCATAGTTGGAAGAGTTAAAGAGCCTCAGTGATCTTGGAAGTTGGTTGAGCAAAATATCTGTCAACGTAATCGTACACTACTAAGATATATACAGTAGATGATGTTCGACTAAAAGGCAACAGCCGATTTATAGGCCCTACCTCGCGACTAAACAATAGGAAAATCTTTGAGGCTGTGATGTAGATGCAAATATTAGTAGCCCAGGTTGTTCACCTGGTGTTCGGGGTGTTCGTTGAGCTCGGCAGTTTTACCGCATACTTATCTGTTATCATACTTTTGTCAAACACCTATAATTGTGTCTTCATCTTCATGAAGCACCCATTTTTTCTCTCTCCGCAACCTTTTCTAGCGAACACACGACTGTTGAAGCCGCACAGCTTTTACTGGGCATAAGCCAAATGCAGAGCTTCCGACGGCAGTCAGGCTACCTCAGCCTTGATTCTAGTGGGACTTCCGAGAGCATGGCCGATGAGGGGTCCACTAACATCAAACGTGAGGCGTCCACTCCTCTGGATCAGTCGATTCCATCTGTCACAGCGCGGCCTTCCGTGACCGACAATTCGTCTTCCTTACTGTGTACAGTTTGATAACCTTGTATATGCCGCCTTTCCCGCCGTTTCTGGAATCTACGAACTGTATACAAAAATCGAACACATGTATCGACGAACTTCCGATGGCTTTGTTTTCTAGTCGCAATAACTCCAAATGTACCATGACCACCCCTTAGCCCCCACGTTTTTGTTTCCGCCTCCGAGCAACAACGGATTGCACGTGTCTACTGATTTCCACTATGTGACCTGGTGGCTGATTTCGTGCCCGCGCTAACTGATTTACCCCTTCTGTCCATACAAACGAATAATTCGCTGCAATTACCTGTTATTTCAGCCTTACGACAGCCATCGGTTTCAACTTTACAACCGTGCAACTTCTCGATGTTTAACCACTTCGAGGCACGTGTGTGTGACATCTTTTCAAAAGCAAAGGGGCTTTCCTGTGCAGTATCCGTTTTTTTCACGCCAGTGCAATGCTTTATTCGGCCAATCAATTTCTTGCCCCAGTTTTACTTTGTGGTTCCAACACAGTTTCTCCCGCTTATCTTGTATTCGTTTGGAGCGTAATACATTAAACTTTGGCCTCGTAAAGTCAACTTTGCGATGCGCGAGACTATGGACATAGAGTCCCATTTGATTTTCATTTATTTTCTGATTGAGCATTGTTTTTTTTTTCTACCGGCATTTGAGTTTTCTATGTCTCCGTTATGTTTTTGATTTTGCTGCTATTATAGTTATCGGGTCCCAAATCCATTGATCCTTTCGCTTTCCCACTGATTGTGGAAGTCGTTTTTCACATTTTTGTAGTTAATGCTGTGTAGAATCCCCAACCACATTACTTTGTACAGCGTTTTAAGCGTCCTTTCGCCTATTCAACGTGCAAATACTGATAACTTCTCTATCGCGATTGCCTCGCATTTCTTTACTTTTGTGTTATAAATTCTTATCGAGTATCACGCTGGGCCAATTCTCCAACTAATCTGAATTGACATCCTGTTTACTACCAGTAAGTCTCTAACCGTGGTGATAGACGTCGCTCACGATTTGGCGTCAAGTCACGGTACCGTAAATCCTGACAGGTAAAGCCTTCATTTCATGGTAACGGGAAAAACAACCATTTACAAATGCTGAAAGAAGTTGGGAACTGAGTACGCTGTCCTGTTATACACCGTTACTGATGTTCTCTGCTCCTGATTAGTGGTCACCGGTCCTAACTGGTTTCGGCCAGTGCGAAAGACATCGGTCAGTGGCTGAAGCGGTGAGGCGTCTTCCTTAAAACCCCAATCTCCATTGTTGCAAAGGATTGATGTTACGGAACTGTCTTTCAGGTTATCGTTTATTCAGCAGTCAACGATGTGCCCGTTATGTTTGGACTGATTCCCCTAATTAAGCCATGACTTGTACCTTTAAACGACGCACTTGCGCGCAAATAGGAAATCCGAGCATCTGTAACGTTTGTCCGGCTTTCCAGTCGGCATTGCTCTCACGCATGCACCTGCGTTTGGGGGGGGGGGACACAATCGCCTGCGAAGCCATGGATTTTACTCTACACTTTGATGGCAGCCCTGCAATAGAGTCATTTCTTAGATAGATGTGCACAGAGCACATGCGCCAATCGAATGATCGATGGCTTCGGTCGCAGCGCGGCATGCTGACTATCGTTCGTTCGGGGCAAATTAAGCCGGAGACGCGAGTAGCTTACAGTGCAGTGAAGGCGGACTGACTGTTGGGCAATGCAAGTTGAAACGAGAAATGACGCATTTGATGCAGTGCCTGCTCATTCAGATACGCCGTGTCGAAGCAAGTAGTATCTCACATGATAAATTCATCCATCTGTGCGAAGCAACATAGTATCGAAACAGTCCATATTGTTTCCGAGGTGAACAGTAAAGTGGCGGATTTATAGACTGAGCTGAACATGTCCCTTTCTCAATCCGCTGACACAATACCTGGTCTCACTGTCATACAAAATAAAAGCGTTTCCTAATTCCTATCCGCCGTACATATAGCGTGTGTGTAAAGTGAGAGAATAGTCGCTGAAATACAGCAACGTATAATAAGATCGCAAAGCCTGATCCCCTTTCAATGTCCAAGACAGATCCATTGATATTTGTGGTGTGCACCTTACTTAAGGGTCGTATTCTAACAGAGATTCGCTGTACAATGGTTTTATACGGGTTAGAAAGCTAATGCTTAACAGGTCCCGTCGGATGGTTATGGTGAAACTACAACATATAAAAAATTGTTAGCGAAATTCAGTGAACTCACTGAAGTATACGCAGTGTAGACTGTAAATCTATGAGAAATGACGGCAAATGGGATGTTGGTAAATCGTATCTCCTGGTGTACACATACAGGTGAAAAACGTGGAACGAAATCTGTGCTGTGACCGCCAGTAAAATCGCATACAGACGCTTGTGTTTATCCATGGGTTATGTAAGATGGTGCTGGGAAATAAGTGCACGGTCAACTCGGATCTTGAACTCTGCCAGCGTGGGAGCACGTATGACAGATTCCAGTAGGGCATTCCACGTACGGCAAACGCGTACGGAGGAGAAATCCCGACGGCATTCCAAACAGCTGTGCTGTACTATCAGCTTGAGACGGTGGCCTCTTAAATTGCTGTAGGGGCTGAGCTCTAGTAAGAAACGGCAAGTGTGGTTAGAATCTCTCACATTTTGGTAAGTCAAAATGAAGTCCCCGCGCAATCCTCGATACCGTCCTCTGAAGACCCCGAGCACTTGTAGCCTTCGTTCATACGGCAAATTATACGGACCCTTGACATTATTGGTTGCCCGGTGTTGGGGTATTTCCGAGGCGGTGTGATCTCTCCTCAGCCATGGCTGCCAGACCTGTATTGCGTATTCCACATGTAGCCGGGAAGCTGTGGTCGCATCGTCCAACATGTTGGACGACCTTTCAGCCTAATTCGAACATCCTAGGTCGACCTGAACAAAAACTCCCAGATCCTTCTCGCCAGAAGACGTTATAAGCTCCTGGTTGCCGAGTTCAACAAATTTCGCCGTAGGTGCTGCACTACATTTGTCCACATTGAATGTAAGTGGATTCTGGTTTAACCACGCGTATACCCTATCCAGATCAGCTTGAAGTACTGTGGTATCGTCTGGTGTTTTGATCGCCCTCCACAGCTTGATGTCGTCGGCATAAAAAAGGCAGTTCGAGCTTATGATGCGTGTGATATCGTTAACGTACGTCAAAAATAATCGCGGTCCTAGTACCGATCCCTGTGGTACCTAGCATTCAACTTGGATGGGATCTGACAGTGAATCACGCACACGTACTTCCAGGCGCCGGTGTAGAAGAAAGTTTCTTATGCATCTTAGGAGAGGATCACCAATACCAAAGGTCTAGAGTTTGAAGAGCAGAAGGTTATGGTCTAACAGGTCGAACGCCTTTGAGTAGTCGAGAAAGACTACATCAACTCCTGTGCCAGAGCCTGTTACTTCAGTCCAGCTGGATCGTGCCAGTAGTATATTTGTACTGCACGATCGATTTCGTCGGAAACCATGCTGTTACCTTGCGAGGTAGTTAAATTCTTCCAAGTAGGCAGTTAGCGCGCCAGAAATAATAACTTGCATGACCTTTGAAAGAACCGGTAGCAAGATTATGGGACGATAGTTGGCTGGATTGGAACGACTACCTCGCTTGCGAATAGGAGTAATCATCCCGTGTTTCCACATGTCGGGCACGTACATTTCTTTATAACAGTTTAGAAGAATCGAGTCAAATGCTCAGCTAAGCTCTCTCTTACTGCCGCTAGAGATTTCGTGTGCAAATTATCAACTCCGGGGGAGCTGTGCCTGCTCATAACAGCTTTTTCAGTACAGTTTCTGCTGTGAAGGATATGTGAGTTTTGGGGGTAAAACAACCATCTCCAGAGGGTTAGGTGGCTAGTGATCGTACTGAAATGTTGCAGCATATTGTGGACGCAGGATATTCGCCATCTCCTTCGGTGTCTGTGTGGGTCCGTCCGCTGTATGAAAAGGAGGAATTCCCCGTTTCACTTTATGTAGACTGTTGACGAGTTGATACAGAAGCTTGTGATTTGAGGCCATACGCACTGCTAACTGCTGCTGGTACACTATTCTTTACTCGCGAACAAGCTGAATATAGGGTTTATGTTGGGTGGTATAGGCTGATGTTGCATTCATGCTGCTTCCTCACCGCAGTTGGGCTAAACCAACTTACACTTAAACTAGGTCTTTTTAATGTGGATAAAATTCCTTACATGATATTTGGTTTTTTCTGCGTACTTGATAATCTTCTCCTTACTTGTACACGTCGCTCACGCAAATTGTGGTAAACTTGCGTAATTTTATCGCGTGGTATTTATTAACTAACTTTCGGACATTTTGTACCTATCACGGATTCACTTATAACCAATTTCTTCTATATGCTCATTTAGCGAGTATTTATGTCGTCAAATGCGTTTAATCGATATCGGCATTTCGAATGATTGGCCGTTGCTTGACATCCCAGGTGTGGTTGCGCTTGATGTGCATGTTGACAAGGTGTCTACCTGTCTATTACCCACTACCTCGTCCATCTGACTCCAGGAGACAGTTGGTCATTGCTGGAGGGACGGGTGCACAGTCCTTGTTCCGTGCTAGACTCGAAGCGTGGTTCCGTGCACTCAGTGTGGAGTGCACTACGGTCCAGCCACCGCCTTGTGTGCACTTGATTCCCCAAATACAGCGTGCTTGTGTTTGCCTGTGAAGGAGTGTGGGCCGGCTCCGTTAATGAAACGTGGCTCCCATCTGCATGCCTCCTGGTCTTATTCCCTCGGGTTTACACTGGATATGTGGTGCGTGGATGGAGCGGTGGGTGGTGCAGCGCAAGCCATCCATGGCCCCTCTGTAGGCGCAGGCGTCCTGTGGCTGGCCACAGTGACAAACAAATCCGAAACCGGATGCCGCCAACCATAGGTCATCTAGTTCTCGGTGCTTGGCGAGAGTTTGTAGATATGCCAGACTGTTTCACACTGCTATACACTTGCGTGTCCTGCTTCGTAGAAACGAGACTACGTTTCTCAGGCAGAATGTTTTAGTCGCTGACGCTCCGGCAACCAGAGAGTTAAACTGGCTAACGAAATGTTCCCATGCACCAGCTGGTACCTCGTCTGCCAGAAATGTCTAGTTGGATGTCTCATCTAATCGAGCCAATAAGTTGTAGCGTAGATACATTCTCGTTGCGTCAGCGATTTCCACAGGATGTTCCGCATAACAAATGTATTCGAAGAGTAGTACTGCATTATCGCCGCGACCCATGGGTACTTCGACGATCACCCTCTCGACCATTAGTTCTTCGTTGGTGAATATCCGATCCAGTAACCAAGGCTTATCTTTTTCTCAGAATCAGGTGAGTGTTTATGTGGCCTTACAGCGGGTAACTGGAGAAGAACTCTTGTAGATCGGACCTAAACTTTTCTCCGGGAGCTGCTTGGGATTCCAGAACGTGTATGTTGCAATCGCCACTAATGAGGATGTGACTGTAAGTTGTGTTTACCACTCTCCTTATTGCGGATGCTAGATGGGAGTCCATCTGTGGCGTGGGGTAAGGAGGGCGGTAAATGACCGCCGCTAAACAATTGTCGTCACCTTTTAAACGTAGACGGCACCAAAGGGAACCTCGCACCGTGCTGACTGGATCCTCTATGAGCTCACACTGGAGGTCGTTGCAGAAGTACAGAGCCACCTCACCACCTTTGCTGGGTCGGTCGTGCCGAACAATGGACATTCATGACAGTGCGACCTCCATGTCAGTTATGTCAGTGCGTAACCATGTCTCCGTTACAGCGATGAGGTCGCAGGCTTTGGATCCTTGACACAGCCACATTTCGGAAACTTTACTCAGTAAGCCTTGAGCGTTGGTTTACATACAGGAAGGCTTCTCGGATGTCAAA